TTTCTTCCAGGGGTTCTCGAGGATGCGGATTTCGCCTTATTTGTGTCCGTCAGCAATGACGAATCTTGTCGCCCTCAAGTTTACACCCACAGCGAATACTGCGGTAGGGATCTGAAAACAAATAGGTAATACTACTGTTATGATTTGTCCATTGCTCACAAGATCTAATTAAACAGGAATATCATTCATCTCCTTAGTTCAATTATATTTCGGTGTGCGGCGGCCAGGACGAAAAGTTGTGAAAAAAGCAAATAACAGCATAACAAATTCAGTGGAGAATCAGCTTGAGCTCAATACCTTAACGCACCAACCTTTGCTAATTAAGTAGTCGATAGGGTGACTTCGAATTCCCTCAATCAAGGTTCCTTCCGAGGCAGAAGTGCTGTAGTTAGCGGTGACTATAGCACTCCTACTACTTTGAAAATATTACCCCAGATACCCTCCCAGCGAACCGAGCATTCCATCTCTTCGGGCTCGGTTTAATGGTACTAAAGTCGTCTGAAGGGGTAGGAGCATTGACTTGTACCTCGGATGTCGAATAGACACGCAGACACTTTCAAAGTGCTATTACAATCGGGGATAAAAGTCGGTGCTGAGACGCATCCCAAGATTTGGATCGGTTCATGTCGAAAAACTCTGTTCTCACCCCTTACAGTTTTCATTCATTCGTCTGGCTGAGATGGTTCCTCTAACGGAATGTAGGGGTTAGGCAGGAGCCTATGATTCTGCTATCACACTCGGGGAGGATTCTGTCTCGACTGGATAAACTACGCTTCATACTCTTTCTGAGCTGTAAGCATAAAGGTATAAAGTGTATTCCGGTTAAGGGAACTGGAGATGTGGATAGTAGGACCAGCGTAAATCCTAATTCAAGCCAAAGTACGGGAAAATGATGCCTCGAATCTGAAAAGAAGTGAATTCTCTTAGGGAAAGCGATTATATTAGCAGAAGGAGACGGATCGATCTTGTATTCAATTTTCAGGCCAGTAGGCGGTCATATTGGAATTTGTCCAGACGCTTTCAAATCGATGCTTCCCAGACAAAGGGTTAAATGGCTATCAACTATCAAACGTGAAATCGTCCGCATGCTCGTGTTTGCACCATACCATTTGAAAAAGTTTCCGACAGCGAAACTACCCCCAAAGTAAGTATGAAGGTTCATTCCACTAAAAGAAAAGCTATCAATGAACATTATTGTAATTATTTCTGTGCACCTTGAAACTTGTGCTTTATCGGCCTCTGCTTTGGTGATGTTGGAGAAATTTTATACAAAGCAAATCTGTTCACCCGCGTTGTCAGTTTGGGATATAGGTGGCCCATTTGTTCAAGTTACCCGTTGTTGTAAAAGAATTGGTGGCTTCTGACTGAAAACAAGGCAGCCAACTGCGAGCGTGGGTAGCGGTATGAAGGTAAGGCTACCCACAGGTCCCCATTACCTCTTTCCGTGATGTCATGGCCGACGTCATTGAGCATGAGTGGTATACAGTGGATTTAGGAATCGGATTCTTTTATTGACCCTGTTGTTTCTTTACAAGACGGCTGGCTTCCACTGTCGAGATCTTTGTACGAAGATATTTAGGTGTCATGGAATTTAGGAAAGAAAAGCTGAAACCGGAACCTGGATGCTACCAGAAATTCCCATGAACTACGGCCCCTCCTTCATGAATGACCAGTCGAGGCTTGCGTACCCGAATGATGATTTTCCACCAAAGACTTGATGGCAGGCGTCACACACTACATTCTCATTGAGAAAGGTGGGAGGGAGCATCTAAACGTGCCACCGACCTTTTTTCGTGAGGAGGGCTCTCTGAGTGTGTTCGGCAATATAGTTCACTACCGAATGGAGTGACACACTCAAAAGCTAGTACATGCTGCTCTAGTAGCACACAATTGTACTGCACACGGCTCTAATTGCAAATATAACTATATATGAACATGTGGGAGAATGATATAGGAGCATCGATTGGGGTGGTCCCAGAGAGACCAAGCTTCGGCGACCAATTGGCTGTGATCTGGAAGCATTAATGCCTTTACAATCGACTATGCTGTGGAAGAATCACTTGCAGACAGTTCTAGAGACCACGTTTGGAGTAACGCTAGCACAGGAAGGGGAGGGCGTGAGGGTCCAGGAGGAGCGGGAGGGTTTTTTCAACATACATTTCCAGCGATTACTTCTTGGAACGCAATCCTGCTCTCTCGAACGACCAAATGCTCTTCGCAAGGAAGGACATCCCTATGACCATCTGCCTACCAAAGTTCTCGCTGCTCCCTGCTTATCACTGTGTAATATTTTAGATCTTGACTGAGCAACATTCGGGAACAACAATTACAATTATAAATGGAAACTGCCCCAACTTATCTCTTCCGACTCTTCAACCACTTTCTCCCGCCCTCTCAACGTCCAGTCCTCTTCCTCTCCGAAAAACTATGTGATAAAAGATAACTGATTTCGAGCGATTAGAACTGCTAGCTTTTGATGAAAGAGGGAGGGGGCCTCTTTTAACGCTCCCCATCACCGTTCAAATCGTCTCTTATACGTCCCTTCACACTTACTCATTTACTTCTCTAACATAACCTGTTTGTATTCAGGGAAGAAGAGCAGGAAAATATCAAACTAGGGGCAGAAATACCAGGTGTATTGGAGAAATTCACTCGTGAGGACTGGGAGACTAAAACAGGACAGGTGATCTTCCCGCCATGTTCGACTCAGCTTCACAAGCTTTCTTCACAGGACCTATCACTCTCATTTGCAGATTAAGCGAGACGTCTACATGATTGTCACAAAGAATGTACGAAACGAAGCCCGTGAATACTTCAAATGCTCTTCTTTGGAAGGAGCTGAGTTGGAAGATCAAGGAGGTCCCAACTCAATAGGTTCACAATGGGAAACACGCATTTTAGAGGTATCTTCTGTTTCTTCGACTGAAGAAGGGCAGCAGTCCTTGTTGAAAGATCCTATGAGTTTCCTAGGTTGGAGTCCTGGGACAGAGGAAGGGGGAGGGGAAGGTCCCGTTAAAGTGAAATTTGCGATGAGAGCAATCGCTAATTCAATTACGGCGCTATACGAAATCCCACCTTTGCGAGAGTTTCATCAGGCAACAGTGGAACTCTTACAGGCTTTTCTCAATAGTTCGCTCACGGGAGGAGATAGAGCAGTCACAAGTGGCGCAGTATTGCACACGCATAGTCAGAGGATCTAATTTCGGATCGAGACTCGCCCAGGTTAATATAGCCGATAATCCGTTTGCGACCGAATTCTTGGTACAGTACTCGTCCGAGACTATAACAACAATGATTTGCTCATCGACTAGCCACCGCGATCCATTGTAGATAGCGAATGCTCATTTAAACACCACTGCGATTCGAGTGGGAATCAAATGCTGGGGCCTGCCTAAAAAAGACTGATTAACGCTGAAGTAGGTGATCCCTGAGAGAGCATCAAGAAACCTAAAATGAATTGAGCTCAAGAACATTCAAAACGAAAGTTTATAAGCCCAGGTGAAGTGACTACCGAAAGCGTCATTCGCAGACTTCCTCTCCTTCCTTATTAATTCCACTGCCGTCTGACATTTAATGTAGATGACTGCTAAGGAATTTCAATCAATTCCCTTTAAGTGGCGTAACATGAAAAGATTCATCGAGTGATGACTTGTATGGCAAAGGTTTTCTACTTAAGAACGAAGCAATGGCCGGAGGGTCGATCCAAGTGCACGCCATATCTCGCATCACTCTTGCACTATTTGAAGATTCTGGATGGTACCAAGTAGACTACAAGTAAGCTCGTTATTGAAGGTCTTCAAAGAATTTACAAGCTTTCTGATTCTCCACAGAAAACTGCAGCTTACAGTGGAGAGTTGCCAGAAGAGTTTCATGATAGCTTTGACTTGATCCTTTGTTACCTGCTTCTATTTCGCCGCAGTACGCGATCCGAAACTCAAGGGTCCCGAGTTCTGAGGTAGACGTGAGCCTCAATTGGGACTCGAAGCTGTGCTTGTGCCCAGAAAGCTTAGGTACGGGTTCGAATTTCGTCAAAGCCCGATGTTTTGCCCATAACTCGCCGATCTTGTAATGTTGTTCTCATATTGTAGATTTGGAAGCTGTGCTAACTTCAAGTTCCCAGAAACAGTATCCATCTTATCCGTTTGCTCCCTGGTTGCAGTCAACCTCAATGGCTGCTTTCATAGTCCGCCGGCGTACCAGCCGAGGCAGTGCTAGGGGGGAGGAGGGAGGCAGACGATCGGTCAAGCCCCTTGAAGGGCTGAAAGCAAAGAAGAACAAGATCAAAAACCAAACAACCAGGAGCTTGTGCAAATGGTTTTTGATCTTG